TATTGATTGTGGTTTGTTTGCCATTGCTTTTGCCACCTCTTTAGCTCGGAATATTTATAAATACATATATAAAATTAATATTCATACATAAAAGTACAAGGCAAAATATCGGGAGAGTTTAGGCTCCATTCACCAGGTGTATAAATTGACATAATAAGTTTATTATATTTGCTGCTACGGAACCCTTTGTGCGCGAGCCCGACTCGCACTTGGCCGGTTTTTATTTATTTTAAATCTCGAACAGAGCAAATCTCCAACAGTCCTCGGTCTCCCTACCAAAAATAGCATGTATTCATAAAACATCCTAATTGCCTGAACCTAATATCTTATGTACCTACCTATAGTCAACCTGCTTACGATCTGAAGAATCTAGGTTCGACTTTCAGACCATACAGTTTTGTTGCTAAAAAGAGGTGCTTTCTATTATACAATAAGATGTTTCTTCAATGTTTACCTTGATGTTTTGCTTATTATTACAGCATAGCAAAACATAACGATTGAAACATAATCTCTTTAGAAATGTAATCGTTACAACTCTTCTACTGATTTGTAAACGTCTTACCCTATCGTTATTCCCGCAAGTATTATAAGAAACTAGCGGCCGCCCGCGACTTCGTACGCGTCGATCCCGTTTTACCCCCTTCATCTATCTTAAGCGGTTTAGATTTTTTCATACAAATGTTTTTTCCCGCTAACTCCCGTTTCCGTAGAAATTTCGCAATATCCTGTTGTAACTAAGCTTTAAGTTTACTAAGGTACCTGCATACCAAATTTCAAGCGTCTAACTTAAACGGTTTAGATTTTTCATACGAAGGGATTTTCCCGCTAATTCCCGTTCCCGTGGGAATTACGGGAATTCCTTTCTTAGTGCACCTCTACGGTACCTAAGCTACGTCCCTTCCAAATTTCAAGTGCCTACGTTTAGCCGTTTAGGCTGTGCGTTGATCTGTCAGTCAGTCAGTCAGTTTCTCCTTTTATATATTTAGATAATAACGAGCCATTTCTGCCATTATTCAGGCCCGTCGCAGGTGGGCCGCAAACAAATGGCGCGGGTTACAAATGGAAAGTAAGGCAGCTTGCTAATGTCAGCTTGGACCCGGTTTAGGTGTTGATAAACTATAGTATACAGGGTGTTAAATCATTGGCTTTCTTTTAATATAACGCCCGTATTCACAAACGATGTTTTTTTTTATCCACAACCAGGAAGCTCTTGGCCTGTATCTCACCTGATGGTAAGTGACGATCAGGCCGAAGGTGGAAGCGAGCTTCACCCGGAATCCTCAACCACGGAGGAACTGGCTATCTTACCTCTAACTGCCGGAACACAACAACGCTGTTAACATTGCTGTTATGGCGACAGACTTAGGTAAGATGGTGGTAGCTTGCCAGGTGGACGTAGAACAAGCCCTACCACCAACCAAACCGAACAGAAAAATCTGCCCCCACTGGGAATCGAACCCGGAACCTCTGCGTCTGAAGCAGGTGGTCTTACCACTAGACCACAGAGAACCGCCTCTGTGACCACAGAGAGCTTGCTTAAGTGAAGCAAATCGAACGCACACCGTTGGATGCGGTGCCTTGCAGCGAGCTCTGTGATTGGATCATGTGTCACCCTGTGCGTCCACGCGCACTGTGTGATCTCATAGTTATGTTTGTGAACATGAACATTCCCTAAACATGAGAAAAATCCAATGAGTTTGTTGTCTTAATTTTTACTATTTATTTGTATTAGTGTCCTCTTAGAGACAGTTCAAAACTATTGTAGAGCACATCAGACTATTTTTTTTAAGATACCCAAGTGTTCTAAAAAGGATTTAGGACGCTATTTGGATCAAATATGTAATTGCTCAATAATGAATAATAAATAAATAAATAAAATAATACGCTAGATGTGCTGTCGATGTAAGATTTAATGAACTATAAACTCTATGACTTGTCTCATAGGGGAACGTAGGCTATATATCATGTAGCAATGTAGGTTACGTAGTCTTATATTAAATGGAGGCCAATAATTTAAACGATATTAGTCTCTAGATACAAGTTTTGTACAATTTTCATAGACATAAAGATAAGCAATGATAAGCAGTTTCGCTAATGATTGTACACTTAAGATTGCTAGTCTATTTGTGCCTAAAATATAAAACGTGACGAAGATTATTACCGTAGCAAATAGCGCAGAAATACAAAATGAAGAAGACGTCTAGATCAATTTGATGATAAGCAATTTGAAGAAAGTGTAAATCTAATACCATCTGAAGATTTGGATGATTTGCAATATTTCATCTGTACACTGATACAATATTTATCTTGGTTAGAAAATATTATACAAAATAAAACATGGTAGGTAACTATTTACTAAAATGTATAATTTTAATTAGTTTGAAAAGTTCTAGATAGATGTAAAAAAAACTTTTAACTTCTCATAAAAAAAATTCATAAAACTCATTATTTTTGCAAATTTTAAAAAGCTTTATAGTACGAGTACGTTCCAGTATTAACCCTACCACTGCTTCGGGACAATAAATGGGCCAGTGCTGAGAAGAAGCAGCGCAAGAAACTCAGTCAATCGACAGATTGACTGAGTTTCTTGCGGGGAAGGGTGGGGAGACATCCCCACCCTTCCCATGGTGAAATACAGGCCAAGAGCTTCTTCGTTGTGGATAAAAAAAAACAAATAAGAATAAACCTTAATTTGAACCTTACATTTTTTTTAACAAATAATACTGAGTTTTTACTCTTCACTAAACCTAAATGTAAAACTCGTGTCGTGTTTTTAAGTTTTGGCTAAAATAGTGGTATTTTAGTCAAAACTTAAAAAAAAAAATTGGTATAAGTCAAGCCTAATAGAGTTAGTGGAGTTAAACAAGCTTTTAGTGTCCTAAAAGTAATTAAAGTTTCAGTCAATCAAATTAAGGAGAGAGGACACTATGGGATGAAAACTCATTTTGAAACTTAAAATAAATATTTTAAATTGATTCTCTAGGTATAAATAAGGCGATTATCACACTGCACCGCGCTCCGCCGCGGTACGCGGGACGACAGATTTAATCATTATATGCAAGTACCTCACTTTGTATAGAAAACACGCGCGGCACAACACACTGACAACGCGTTTGCGCGCGGGATTCGTTAAATGTCGCCACGCGGACCGCGGTGGAGCGCGGTGCAGTGTGATAATCGCCTAAGTGTGACTCTTTATAATCAAACAGTGAACTGTATTTTCGTTTGAATAGATTCAACACACAAGACAACAATAACCTAATGGTGTTGGAATCAAACTATGGGTTGAGGGTTCTCAGTTCGATCCCCATCGACTGCTGGACCACTATGGCTAGTTACATAATAGGTAACTTAATATACAGAGTGTTTCGTGTAAGGTGTCAAGCCGAAGTCAGGTGATAGTTGAGGACTAGACCTATCGATTTCGCCCTCATTTATGTTCTATAATTGTAGTTTAGAAATTATAGTTAATTTTGTGAGATTTAAAAAAAAATATGACCTAGTAGGCTTTAAATTTTTTCATCTTTTGTTTGGGTTGACTTTTCTCAGATTTCTTTTTTTGTCAGACAACTTTTCTAAAGTTTCTTGTGTTTTTTTCATCTACAACGAGAAACCACCTGTAATCTGTATGTTCTCGGATGGAAAGCGATGATCAGGCAGGATTACTGGGAATCAAACCCCGGACCTCTGAGTCTGAAGCTAGCGGTCTTACCACTTGACCACAGAGACGGTTAAAACCTGTAATATAGACTAAAGCAGTGTTTTTTAACCTGGGGGATCGCGAAGCCTCTACAGGGGGTCGCGAGAGGTCATCAAAACTACCTCAGTAAAAAAAACTATAAAGATATATTTATTCGAAATCTAAATTATGCAAATGCATAAAATATGTTGTATAGATTAATTATTCCGTCCCTACAACATCTTTGTAGCATTAAAAATTCATGAAAAAAAGCGAACAGTCGCAAAATATTTTTTCATACTAGGTGGGTCGCATCATGAAAAAGGATGATAAACACTAGACTAAAGCAACCTCAATTAATTCACTTATAGTCGGACAAAGAATATCATAAGTCACCACACATTGATTTATATTATCAGTCCTAACACTCAAAAGATTCCGAGCGAAAAGTAATGCGGTCAATAAACCATACCAAAACACGTCGATGGTTTTATACCTCCCACATTGGAGGTATAAATCTCGAAGAAAGGGCGTTATGTCAAATATTCACTATGATAAACGGTATCGTATACGAACATGCCTAAAAGAAATGTTCGGGCTAGTTTCGTGACGAGGATTTGAGAAAACCTTTGAGGTTTGACTTTGCCCGCGGTTTTGCTTGTTTTTGTTTTTATTGTCATCATCATTTTAACTCAAATGACATAACAATAATGGACTTCAAGCCCTCCTCAAACTATTATTTTTGTAGATATGTTACGGTAAATGTGATAAATTGAAAATTTTGAATAATCGCCAGTAATTTTCACATTTATCACATTTACCGTAACAGATATACCAACCCGGTATTTTTGGACACTTTCTATTTTCTTTTTATTGATTCAGCAACTGAAACAACTGTTTGTCGACCGATCTTTGTTTCAATTTTTGATACAGTCTTTAGATACAGTGAACAACTGATTTAAAAATTCAATTCTTTATAAAGATTTTACTATAAATTCCGGAAATTCCCTTTCACGACTATTTAAAATTAATTTTACGCTATAAGATACAAGAAAATCACGTGTTTTTAAATGTCGTAAAATATGTAATAAATACAAAGAGTTGCTAGTCACCATACTATACATATAGGTACGAGTAACGAGAAAAGATTTTTAATTTTGTATGTTTGTAACAAATAAACCCAAAAATTGCTGAATTTAAAAAATTCTTCACCATTAGAATTCTAAGTTATCCCTAAATAACATCTTAGGCTATACATATAGGAAAAAACTAGTGTATAATATTATACTATACAGATATTGATAATACAATGTTGACTCACCTTTCATGGCCATCGTGGGTAACAAAGCTATAGCTTGCAGCAACCAAAAACAAGTCCGTTCGATCCACATCCTAGCCTATTTCCGTATTTATCCAAAAGAGTACATTTTCAGTCCATCACTGAGCCATCGCGAATTCATCGGACGCACTGGACGTTCATTTGTTAAATTGCAGCTGCATTTGTTTTAGTGCAGTTTCATTTGTTTTAGTGCAGTTTCATTTGTTTTAGTGCAGTTTCATTTGTTTTAGTGCAGTTTCATTTGTTCTACGAGGGCTTCATTTGTTTCACCGTAGAACAAATCAATCATAGTAGTACGAGTGATTCTCGGTTATTCTGAATTTTGAGTGTTCATTTAAATTCTGGGTATTAAATGTTTTTAATTCTGAATGCGCAACCAATGTGTTTGTATAAGTAAACGTGGTTTTGGTAATTTACTTAGGGTGGATTCAACTAAACAAGATTAAATATTAATCTCAGAATAAATCGTCAGTTATTCGTCATTTTGACATATTTCCCATACTGTAACTGTCGATATGCCAGTTAAACCAGGGGTTATTCTCGGATAAAAGATAGGTTGAATCGGGCCTTAAATGGGTATATGATAAGTAGGTAACCATTATCCTAATATCAATTTATTTATTTTGTATTCTTAAATTAGTGCAATGATTACTTAATACAGCATTGTTCATTTGTATAAAAAAGTATTCATAATGATTTAGTAATATTATTTCCTATTACAATTGTACTTATCACTTTAAAGCAACTGGTGAATTTGTTAAAATTGATAGATTGTATTACTAATTTGGGAATATAATAGCTAACCCAAATTATTTTTAAAGTATATAAGTTTTTCACAAATTATTTTAAACAAAACCACAAAAAATATATTTCATTATTATCAGGATTACATCTTGATTACACAGTTAATTGATTTCCATTAATTTATAATAAAATTTTGGTTTTTAGAGTTATACAATTATATTAAAGTTTTTATGTTCATCTGAAATTGTTATTCATACAGACTCGATAACAATTCAAAACTTGTACTTCATGAAAGAAAGGGTTAATATTGAATTAGCCTTTCAAGAACTTAGTTTCAACTCCTGAATTCCTGAAATTTCTACTATTTAAGTATCCCAAAAACAGTACCAAATGAACTGACGTAACTTTACTCAAATTTGCGAAGGGTCTGAGTAAATTTACTCAATTAACGTTATCTGGTTTTTCCTTTTAAATTAAACTGTTCACTTCTTAAGGTCTTATTTGGTTTGCAAATTATCTGTAAATATAACTTACAAAATTGTAACGTAAATATTGACTCGCTCACTGATGAAAGGTTGGGGAGAGCTTTTGTGTTTTTATTCTGCTTTTTTTATTAATTTGATGATTTAATATTAACTTGAATTCGTGTTTGAGGAAAATTTGAAAATGTCATGTACAGAATATAAAATATATATTATTTGGGAAATTAATTGAGTGACTTCAAATAACAATAATGATAAATGATCAATGAATGAATTCGGTACCAAGCCCTGGAATTTGACTGTATCACTAAAGAAGACTTATAAAATATACTGATATAAAATAACGAATTTTTTCAATAATATAAAATTGAAACACAAAACCACGTCAACTCGTAATCACTATATCAAATTGCGCACCCAAATTTTCACTATTTGCTTTCACAATTCTAAGTTACAACTCCATACATCGCAAACACCGTGGAGCGATACAGCGAAAACGCTACGAACGTCCGCCCCGTAGCGAGTCTCGTAGCGCACTGAGGTAAACCCACGGCATCGTAGCACACAGCTACGAATTGTGTACCGTAGTCGTAGTCCGTAGCGTGCTGTAGACGCGACTACGTCATGAAAAGGTCGCCTCAAACGCTTAAACCGTGCGCCTTTTGCATGAATAGAGCAGTGCGAATGTGTTTTGTTTTTACTGATGTTCCATTTTTGAATGGCACGTTTGATGTTTTTTTGCGGCTCGCAAAGGCGTCGATGTGTGAGTGTGTACGTAGTTTTGTTCAAGTGTGAACTCGCACGTTTACAAAGAGTTTTCTTGTTTTTTATTTATCCATAGCTTTTTAATTATACTTGACAGCTTATTTTTCCATCTGGAAAAATTCTTTTATCAATATAATGAAGAGTAAGGAAAATATTTTATGATTAGAGGAAACCATTCCATTCCAAGTTTGGTTGTGACTCGGACTGTATTTTCTAACCAAAATCGCCTGAGCGTAGTGTGTGTGTGTACATACTGTTACACAAACACTGAATATAAAGTGATATTAGTGTGATACCTAAATTCTGTAGTCAACATTTAAACAAGTGTTGTAGTGTAGAGAAAATAGAGCAGGTACATAGTTTGCAATCTACATAAACTCTCATGCATACCTAGAAATCTCATGCATATATTATGTTATGTGTTCCATGATTTCTGTTACCCACAAACAATGTAGGTAATCTTACTTTTCTAAGGCTGAGTTGCACCACCTAACTTTACCGGTAACTAAAACGATAACCGGTTGTTAAATACCTCCATGCTTAATACTGGCTGATTTAATAAATTTATATAAAAAAAAGAAAAAATGGAAAAAATCTGTCAATTGATTTTACGCATTCGCAGCCATTGAGTTATAATGTACTTAATATTACTTCAATGTTCGCAGCTCGCTTTTGTCTGAAAACACAATACAATTTTTCTGCGTTTTTGTCGTATCAAATACTATCAAATACCTATCATCGTTTTCGTTTTCTTAGACCTACTGGTCAAACTTACTCCACCAGTGCTTTTTGTATGGAGTTTGACAGATTTTTGACATTTGTCACAGTTAAAATAAGATGGTGAAACCCAGCCTAAGAGAACTTTGAACGCCTATGTGTTCTAGCGGTAAGAACCCGGCGGTCTCGGGTTTGGTTCCCAGTAGCAGATTTTTCTATTCTGTTTACTTGGAGAAAGGGCTTGTTCTAAGTCATGGCTAGCTACCACCATCTTACCTAAGTCTGTCGCCATAACAACAATGTTATCAGAAACTGAGTTATAAATAAATCCAATCTTAAAACCAAATTAATTAGATCTTCAAGTTAAAAGCAGGGATTAATAGCTAATCAAAATATTTTGTTTTCAATGTCGTCTATTGAGAAACCAACAAAATACATATATTTTACTAACTGTGCCCCCGAAAATCGTTTGAATATTTCCCGTTTTGCAACATTTTTCTTTACAAAAATAATTATTAAAATCGAACCAGTACTTCCTGAGATTAGCGCGTTCAAAAATTGTTTGCTTCAACAAAACAATTACTCTTCAGCTTAGCTAGTTTCGATATGTCTGTCTGTCTGTCTGTCCGAGGGTTTGCTTGGAAACTATTGGCACTAGGGAGCTGTAATTTTGTAGAGGTATGTCTATGTATATTAATCACGCCAACAAAACGGTAAAATAAAATTTAGGGTTCAATAGGGTTGTAAAGTGAGGATGATTTTTTTTTCATTTTCTTCCCCATCAAGGGGGGTATCGTTGGGTAGCTCTTTTAAAATGACTTAGGGGTTTCTAAGACCATTTTTCGATTCGTTTGCAAAATGCTAAAGTTTAAAGTGTTAAAATATCAAAGGAAGCAGTTTTTATAAAAGCTGCATTACATACCTTTACCATGAAAGCATCAATACAATGCCCGAAAAAGCCCCAGTATGTAATCTATGTATTTAATAGAACCCGATATGTGTACAATACGAGTATATGTACATGGTATTCACTAGGCTTTTTATGTCATACAAACATAGTCCGTCAACATTCATCATTTACGAGTAGGTATGTTTGTTATATTTAGACTAATATTTGATTAATGTCATGTTTACTAAAAAAATAGTTATGACAAAGATAAATACATGGCGAGAAAAAAAATACAAAAACTACGGTACAATTACGCGGTCTCGTCGCTATAAAACAATAATCCAGACAATCTAGAGTACCCAGTTGTTTTGAATAGAAAATACTGAATATTTTTTTTTCTTTCTTTCTTATCTAAAAGTATTTCTATACAGAAGGAAATTGTTGGTAAACTGCTTGAAATTTTAATTATTGTATAAGTACATTTTTAAATAATGTTAATGCACAAGAATGTTGCATTATTTTGTTTATTTATTAATTATTTTTTAGACCAACACATCGCCATTTTCATCCTTAATAACATTATATTAATCATGGAACTTAAATTGATCTTGTCTATGCCAATAGTGTCGTACTACGCGGTAATGGCTGGAGCTATTTCGTGTGTGTCTAATAGTGTTGTGAAAGTATCGATAAACTTGAAACATCGAATGCTTCAGGGTGGTACTTGAATCCATGAGCTATTTCTTATTGTCGAGCCACTGTTCTAAACGGTGTATAATGTTGGTTGTGTGTAAATTTAATTATTTTAAGAACAATAACATAAACATCGAGGTTTAGCGCAAAAAAAATCAGTAGAGTCGTAAGAGCAACACATACGTACACTAATATCAAGTCTTGCAGATTTCTTTAGCTACCACTCCGACTGTGTGTGCTATAAATAACTGTAGAAAATCATATTCATCATCATCATAATTTCAGCCACAGAACGTCCACTACTGAACCTAAGCCTCCCCCAATAATTTCCATATCGCCCGGTTGGTAGCGGCCTGCATCCACCGCCTTCCTGCTACCTTGATGAGGAAAACCTTATAGTCACCAAGAAGTTTATCGATATCCAAACTATCACTGTCACAACACTAGTATCGTGTTGGCGGCAGAAACTTTGGTCATTAGGACGAGCTTGTAAGTACTTGATACTGGAGGGTTTTGGGCTCCACCTGCTTTTACTTACACGTGCTATAGCATTGTTTGGGTGCTATAATTAGCCTGTAGAGCTATGGCCTTAGTTGCCTAAGAAATTGTCAATGTGTCTTAATAGTTAGGGCGATATGGTAATTTAGGAGTTAGTAGGTACCCAACTGAGGGGTGGTGGGACAAATTCCTCAAGGTCTAACTATTCTCTTGTCATTCATGAGGATAATCATACTTTGAAAATGGATGCGATGATTTTGGCTTATTTTCATATTAACGCTGTCATTTATATTTCATTATGTCATTAGATATTTAAAAACTTGATTGGTTTATGTATTTTCTTACTGCACCTAAGTTAAATTATATTGTAACTGTATGTTTCCCAAAAAGAAATAAATAAATAAATAAATAATTAAAAAAAAATAAACGGGGCAAAGTTTGCCGGGTATTATATAACGTAGTCGTTATAGAAATCGCTCTACGCTTCCCGCATCCAGATTATCCAAATCGTCGGTCCACCTAGTCAAGGGCCTACCCACGCTACGTCTTCTAGCCCTTAGTATTAAAATGTACTGAGCTACTTTTTATAAGTCTTTTGTTTCAGATAAGTTTCAGTTTGACTCATCTCATACAATTTACACAATAAGTTGTTAATATATTGTTTGCGGTGACTTTTATGGGTCCACTAAAGAACCTAATAGTTATTTATGGGCATTACCATCGTCCAGGTAGCACAATGAATGAAGACGGAGAATGCTTATTCCATTCCATACACACATAATAAATTATGAATGTGCGTGGCGTGCGTGGGCAGGCCTCCCACTAGGTGGACCGACGACCTAGTGAGGGTCGCGGGAGGTGCCTGGATGCGAGCGGCGCAGGACCGGACTTTGTGGAAATCCTTGGGGGAGGCCTTTGTCCAGCAGTGGACGTCTTTCGGCTGAAACGAACGAACGAACGAAATTACGAATATGACAACAAACCTGTGTAAAATAATTGTATTTCAAATAATATGGTTTCCAATAATCATAAGGCTGGCAAAGTATGTACAGAACATACTAAATACTTACTAATATGTATATTTTTCTTTCGGCTCTCGGTATAGAGAGAAAATTTGCATTGATATAATTCTATATGACATTTTGATCTTTCGTACGCGTGAAGGTATATGCAAAATAGAAGATCAGTCTCATGTGCCTCAATACATGACGTATTTTATTTACAATGAGCCTACTGCCCTACCCAAGTGTAGTGGTGATAATGAATTTATCCTGTTTGATAAAACTTTATGTGGAAAACGCGTAGCGACTACAGGCGAGATATTACATTTCTTTCAGCATTGTAATAATTTATGCCGCAAATAAATAGCGATATTAAATGGTATATTTTACACAACACTCACGCCTTAGAACAACTGGCTTCTACAAATAGCTTCCGATTATGTATTTGCCTGTATGTGTTTTTCTGTCACAGAGAATCGTCACATTCACGTGCGTCTCTGTCAAAAACACTTTGGTACTAAAAGTATAATGTTGAAAGAATAACTTAATAGTAATCTGTGTTGAAAAGGTTTACATAAGCAATTGAAATATTTACAAATTAAATTTCCAGGGCCTTGATTTCATCTCATCATCATATGACATGAGGGAATCGCGAAAAATGTTTCTTAATATCGTGTAAAATATCACAAAAGCTTGTTAAGTCTAGTCTATTTTAACAATAGATAAGACCATTCATCTCAAATTTTCTGTTTTGAACAAAATAAAAGAATGAAATACACCTATTACCGACCTATGACCGACCGAATTATACCGAAAGATTGACTTAATCTAACTAAATCAGCACTACCACGAGTAAAGAGAACAATGTCAAATGTCTAATCAAATAATTTATTTACTTTCAGACACAATTCAATTAACATTATGATAGAGGAGTAGTACTGTAACAAATATCCA